CAGTCGGTTAAGCGTCTGCCTTCGGCTCAGGTCATGATCCCAGGATCCTGGGATCGAGCCCCGCGTCTGGCTCCCTGCTCCGTGGGAAGCCTGTTCTCCCTCTCCCAGTCCCCCTGCTTGTGTTCCCTCTCTTGCTGTCGCTCTCTCTGTCAAATAAATAAATAAAAATCTTAAAAAAAAATGTGTGTGTAGGACTGGAATGCCTGGGTATAGGTATATAGCTCTCCATATACCTGGGTAGTTGTTGCCAAATTGTTATCCAAAATGATTTCACTGTTTATACTCTAACCACTAGTAATTTATCTTGTTATATTCCATGTCCTCCACGATCTCTGCTATTGTTGAACATTTTCATTTTTGCTAATCTGGTGTAAAATATTTCATAGTGGTTTTCATTTCCTTGGTTACCAGTGAAGTCGAGTTTATTATCATATGCTTATTTGTCCCTACTGTTCCCTTCTCTTGGAAGTTCCTGTGGTCTTTGGCATACATTGTTAAATTATGTTGGGATTTTTAAAATAGTAGTCCTTTGTCAGTAGCTTATGTTGCAATATCTCCTTTCAGTTTGTAACTTGTCTTTTCATTCTCTTTAAGGTATCTACTGATGAATAGAAGTACTTGCTTCTAATGCTTCTAATGTAATTGAATTGATCAATCTTCATGGTTTCCCTTTCTGCTTAAAAAACAAAAAATAAAATTTATCTATCCTAAGATCCTAAAGACATTCTCCTGAATTTTATGTGTGTATTGTGTGGGTAGAGAGATAGTTAGGCCACATAAAAATTGACCTTTGATTTTTTATTTCAGAACCGTTTGTGTCATAGTCAAATGGCGTGATTTTTCAAGTGTCCCAGTGCCATTAATCATTTCACATTTTTCTGGATCTTTCATTTTGCTCAGCTTGGCACCTTGACGTGTTTCAGGAATATTATTCTCAGAATATGTAACAAAATGCAAGTAATTCACTCCAAAGTAGATTAATGTTTCTCATTTGAGTAAGAAAAGGTTGATATTCTAGCCATGGTAACACCAGTATTAAACTAGGCTGAGAAAATGCCCTTACAAAATGAGCCAATAACTGGAAATGACATTTCAAAAGATGTTGGTAATTCAACTCCCAGATAGTTAAAAGAGAAGCCAATCTTCATTCAAACATTTTAGAGCAACTTTCCCAGGATGAGATACATCTTTTGACAAATCTAACTTTTGATCTACATTGTTCATTGTTAATAGATGGTGGTCGTGCAGTTTTGATGTTTTGATTTAGGATATAGTTCCTGTGTAGTTGTGTATATGTGTGTGTTGCAATACCGTGTGGAATCAAGCTAATAAAACAGAAATCTATGCAGTTGTGTTATTGAGAACATGAGTCTTCTTTTAGTAAAAGCTGTCATCATCTAGTTTCATTTATTCCCTTCATTTAAAAAAGTCCTTATACTTAAGCATTAAACTCTACAAGGTGGTTTCTTTCTTTCATTAGCCATTCATCTTTAATTTACAGTATTCATTTATTCCACAGATATTTTTTGAGAACCTATGTTTTGGAAGGTAGCCTATGCTCAACTGAGTGTAACTGTTTCAGAATTCAGGAACTGGAAGAAGTCCAAGATCATTTATAGTAATCCTAACTTCCCACAAATTAAATTCAGAAACTGAGATCCAGAAAAGTGCAGTCATCTGACCAAAATCTCAAAGTGATGAAGAATAAATAAAAATCCTTGACCCTGGATTCAGAATTCTTCCTGTTGAATAATTTTTTCCACAAAAACTATCTGAAAAATCTTCTTGAGTCCTAAATATTGATACAATGTTTATAGAGATTCCTAAAAGGATAAATCACTGTTTGTGAGCAAATTATATTACATAGTTACTTCAAGCTACTTATAAAATTTTTAGGATGAAAAGACACATTTTTTTAAAAATGAGAAAAAGCAAAAAGTTTCACTGAAAGCTTCTTGAGAGCAAGAATCATTTGATAACTTTATCAATTTGTTTTATTCCCCTAACACAATGAGCTGTTCATAGTACATACTAAACAAATATTGATTAAATGAATAAAATTATATATTGAAATACAGGGTAAAGACATTAGTTACTTTAAATGATTAAAGAAAAGAAAAATCAGCCTGAATGTGGGAAGTCTTTGTGGAACATTTATGACTTAAAATGGCCATAACTAATGTTATGGTGGAACTCCCAAGTTTCAAGTTTCAAATTACTTGTTTAGCTCACTTTCTATTAAGACTTTAGATAAGATTATCTGAGCTATTTGCTTTCAAATTTCACCTATAAGCATGAATTCTTGGAATAAGCATGTTCATGAAACAGTAATGTGATAAATATGCTAAGATGTATGTTTAAGGATATTAATTGTTTTGTTGTTTATAAGAGCATTAAAAAATGGAAACAACCCAAATATCCATCAGTAGATTAATGGTTAATACAACCAAAATAAAATGAATGATTAATGTAGATATGTGTCTTTTAACATGCAAAGACTTTGCTAATGTGTAGAGTAAAAAAAATTCTCTAAAAACAAAATTATATATTTCAGAATGATCCCATTTGTGTGAAAATAAAAACCATGAAAATACAAATAATGGAAAATAGAATGATGGACATTTTTATTTTCTTCTTTATGCTTTTTAGAATTTTTAAGAAGTCTTAGAATATTTATTACTTACAGAAATGATTAAACTTTTCTTTTGGTTGTGGGAAGAGTTCTAAATTTATTCTGTTGACTTACCACAGATAAAAAAGCTAGAGAAAAATGATCTCCATTCATTGAACAACTTTTGTTGAACATCTCTTATGTACTAGGCACTAAAAACAAAAGAGTCAGAATCTAATTCTTGAGCTCCTTGTGACTTTAGATGGAGATGGGAATTATAAATGGAGCACTAGGGATCCATGTCCTTCAGACTTGTCACTTCAGAGTGGCCCTTTTGTCTTATGCCAGTTTTTTTTTTTTTTTTTTAAACTAAACTGATTGATCTCTGTGTTCTGACTGTAAACTACGAACAAAATCAGAGATTTTTCAAGGTCTGACTTTTTAATTGAAAAAAAAATCAATTCTCCATTTTGCCAGGAGGAGAAAAAAGCAACTCTGAGACATTTGGGGCCAGAGAAAAATGTTTAAATGTGTTGAGTTGACATTGAAAACTTATGCATGTAATAATTATACTTTTATTCTGTACTGTATCATTTTCTCCTATGAAATATATTTTTAGATATTTAATTACATGTTATAATAATTGTGTCCGTATTTATTGTTAATTTTAACATTGAAGTTCCCAGAGGGAGGACTTGTCATCTTGATAATGCAGTAATGCCTAGCACCCTGGCATTCCTGTGAGCGTAGTGTTGTCTGAACTTGGCTTGCTCAGGATAAGACAGAACACGTCGCAGGTCTAGTGGCAGCCAACCATGGTTATTAATTGTATGCAGCCAGGAGGCCAAGGAGGAACCTGTGGCAGATTCATTTTTGATAATCTGTTGTGACTAAGTGTGGTCACAACTGGATTTTTGAAATACTCATAATCTAAAAAGTCAGTGTTTGGGGATTTTTAATTGGTTATCCTTTTAAATTAAAGAAGCTGTTAGCCTGAGCTTTTTTTTTTTTTTTTTTTTTTTTGTAGTTTATGCACTAGTAGAGGCTAATAATAGTTTCCAAATGTTTTGTGGGAATTTACAAGTATTTTCATATATGATACTTCATTTAATCTTTAGACCACCTCTGAGGCAGATAATATTCCAGTTTTACAGGTGAGAAAACAGAAATCTAGTTAGGTTAAATGACTTGTCTGAAGTCACATAGCTAAGAAGAAATAGACCTGGATCCACATCTAGGTGTCCGGACTTCAAGTACCATTCGCTTTCAGCTATACCTAGCTGCTATGACTCTCCCTCTGCCTTTGAAGTTGGAAATATGGGGGCATTACTGAGTTTTAGTGGATTGACTCAGCCTAGTCATAACTGCCCCTGAAGTCACCTCTAATTGTCAATATTAAGCATGTTTTCTTTAGGTTCCACAAAGAACCATTGACAAGGTTTATCCAAGGGTCCTTCTGATTGAGCTGTTACCCTGCAACTTACCATTTTATAAGTCCAGTTAACAATCTGGGATCATCATGCCTTTTATCCTAGGACTCAAAGAGAACATTTACATAAATACTAGAGATCAGCTCATTGATGTGGTAATTCCAATACTGAAATGGAATAAAATTTAGTTATTAAATAAAGATAGTAAATTCAGTAAGTGAATGTGGACCAACAACATTTCATCAACAACTGCTAAAATGTGAAGTCATTATCAGTTATATACACTTATAATCGAAAGACCACTAAAGGAAATTCATGTGATCAGAACTTTCTGATATTAAGAGATTAAAATGCATGTTAATAGGTAGAATTTAAGGGAGCCAAAGGAAGATGTAAATTGTGATGGGATTATTAAAGAAATGGCTTGAGAGGGGCGCCTGGGTGGCTCAGTTGTTGGGCGTCTGCCTTCAGCTTGGGTCGTGGTCTTGGGGTTCTGGGATCAAGCCCCATGTCGGGCTCCTGCTCGGCAGGAGGCCTGCTTCTCCCTCTCCCACTCCCCCTGCTTGTGTTCCCTCTCTCGCTGTCTCTCTCTCTGTCAAATAAATAAAATAAAATCTTAAAAAAAAAATGGAAATGGCTTGAGAGACAGACCTTCTGTATCTTGGCATAAAAAGGCTTACAACACAGAGGATATTTTATTTCTTGACCTTAATTATGAGTATTGTTGTAGGCCCTTGAATTTTTGTTAGCTCAGAATAGAGACAGATTAATCCTAAAGCAGTTAAAGTAATTAAATTCTCTTCGTCTCTTTTTTTATGTTAGTGCAGCATAGGGAAATGAGTCTCTAAACCAATTCTGAAATAGAATTTAACTTTTATTTCACTTATGTATCTTAATTTTCTTTTACCGTATATGGCATTTTCTAGAATAAAATTCTCTTGATTTTCTTTTTACTCTAGGCTTGATCCTTCACCACCTGAGACGTCAAAAAAGGAGCACAGCTCAGCTGAAAACATGTCTTTAGAAACTCTAAGAAACAGTAGTTCAGAAGACCTCTTTGATGAGATTTAACTGTCTCAAAAAGGTACTTTGATGTTCACTAGACTATGTTTTCTGTTCATTTCTTTAAACTAAAAAAGCAAGATTTCAACTCAGCAGCAGCTATTACTGTACCTTACAATTTAATTACATACACACTGAATTGAAACCATTGTGCAAAATGGATTATACATGTATATGAAGATGTGATTTGATGACAGTGGTACATTATTCTAAACTATTCATTCACATGCCTATAATTATATAAAACCTCAGACTTTTTATTGCAAAGGACACATTTATCTTATTTAATTCACACATATTATATGTGGTAGCTGTCTAACATCCTGTCTAGGAAGATTTTGGAAATAGGACAAAGAAAATGTCTACAGTTCTTTTTTGAATAGTCATATTCTGAACAGTTGTTTGAGCATTTTAATATGTGAAGTGATGTATAAAATTTATTTTTAGTTTGTACACAATCTCAAAACCTGAAGACAAAATTGTTGATGTATTGAAGATTTTGTGTTCCTAATAAAATATGTTATTTAGCTTAGCTTTTTCCTTTTTTATAGTAACAGGCTTTGCAAGGTGCTTATTAATATAAATGAAACCGCTTTTTCTATCAAAAATATATTTTTCAGATTGTTGTTGAAAGATTTCTTACACATTAAAGGCCTTCTTTGAAAACAAGGACTATGTGATATTATCATCCTCCATAACATCTAGCACAATTAAAAAAAAATACTTACTGTTTCTGCCTCCTACCCTCTCATTTTGTCCTCACTTCCCTCCAGTTGAACATCCATTTTCTCCATGGTTCTCAAAGTTAACAGTGACCACCGTGTTGCTAAATTCAATGGTTGGTCCATTTTCAGTCCTCATCTTACTAAGCCTCTCAGCTACACCTGACATAGTCCATCACTTCTCCTCAGTAAACATTTTTTTTTCACCTGACTTTTGCAGTAACATAGGCTGTTTGTATTCCTCTTTCTTTTTGGCCCCCAAGTCTTTGTCCTTGACGACCAACAGTTAAAGTGTTTGAGTGCCTCGGGCTTAATCTTCAGCTTTCTTCTTTTCATTACCTACATTGTCTCCCTAGCTTTTCTTTGGCTTTAAATACCATTTGCATGCTAATATCTCTAAAATTAGAAGAGTTCTATTTCCGTAGTCATATATATATATATATATATATATATACACACATATATATATATATGACCCTTGAACACTGTAGGGGTTGGGGCACTGATACCCTGGGTAGTCAAAAAAGTGTGTATAACTTTTGATTCCCTAAAAACTTAACTACTAAGAGCCTACTCTTGACTGGAAGCCTTACAGATAATTTAAATTCAATTAATACATATTTTGTATTTTTATGTATTATATATTGGATTCTTAAAATAAACTAAGCTGGAGAAAGGAAAATGTTACTAAGAAATCCTAGGGAAGAGGCAGTACATTTAACTAGAATCCTGGGGAAAAAAATCTGTATAAGTGAACCTGCACGGTTCAAACCCATGTTGTTCAAAGGTCAGGTGTATAATTTATCATTAATTTATCGCAAAAGGAGGTTCTTGAAAATCTACCTGCGTACATCTGTCTGTTTTGCATGATTATTTGGATGTTTAGATACTCTAAAGCGGAGATCTGAATGTGTTCCAACCATCATTTAACCCCCAGTCTTCCCCATCCAACAGATTGTGCAACCATGTACCTGGTTGCTCCAGGCTAAAAACCCAGTGCCTCTGCTTCCCTTGTCTCCCACATCCTGGCATTTTTACCTCCAAATTACAGCTTGACTCTGTCTACTTCTCTCTCTGTGTGTCTGCTACATCTGCCTCCTGACTGGTCTCCCTGCTCATCTCCTACTCTGCAATGCAGACAAACTGAATTTTTTAAATTTTAGGTAAGATCATTTCACTCCTGGATCAAAACCTTCCAGTAGTAATCCGTTGCCCTTTGAACAAAGTTCCTTACCACAGCGTATAAGGTCTGATATGATCTGGCCCCTCCCTGTCTCTCCCCTTGATTTCCGGCTCCTTTCTCTTTGCTTGCCTTGCTCTTTACTGTCCTTCATGTAGGCCAGATCTCAGAACAATTGTATTGTTGGGCCCTATATTCAGAATGTTCATCTTTATATGGTTGGTTTCTTCTCTTCTTTCAGGTCTAGAACCAAATGTCACCTCCTCAGAGGTGCTTTCCCTGAAATACCCTTTCTAAAGATGAGCACACTCCCAGTCACTGTCCCATTGGAGTGTTTTTTTCACTGTGCATATTACTACCTAGAGTTATTTTTTCATCTCTCTCTCTCTCTTTCATGTCTCCCAGTAGGAAATAAGCCCCATCATAGCAGAGTCATGACCATCTGTTTTATCTATTTTCAGTTCCTACAACAGGGCAAGATTCACAAAGGCTTTTAGTAAGCATTTGTTGAATGAATAAATGCATGTCTAACACAACATAGGCACTTGAAATGTTTCTTTATTAAACTGTTTTGAAAAGAAACTTAAGGTTGAAATTTAGTCAGTTGATTTGATACAAAGAAATAATTGTTTAGAAGCTCAAGTACCTTTTATGATTAATTATAAATAATATATGCATAAATATGTAGGCTTGATCACAGAGAGTGAATGAGAAAGGATTACACATATTGTTGATATCAGAAATAGGATTTTATTATGTCAATGGAACAACAAAGCATTTTAAATAGAAATTTTACTGCATTTTTATTTCCATAATGGCTTCCATTTAAGAGGGGAAACTTTAAAATAAATGTAAATGTAAATATGTAAAATATAAAGATATAATTATAAGTCTATAGACATATTTATAAGTCTAAAATTCTACTCAGTTACATAGGAACTTCATAATAATAATGAGTTTCATATAATCTGAGATATGTCTTGGAATTTTCCAAGGGGATTTTGTACGTAAAGTACCAGAATCTCAAAATAATGTCATCTTATCTGAATAACCAAAATTAGTATACAACTGTGTGTGTGTGTGTGTGTGTGTGTGTGTGTGTATACATACATGTACAATTTTTTTAAGTGAAAGAGAAGAAAACAATTTTGGCTATTAACTCACTGGTGGTAAGAGAGTGAGAGAGTGATGTACAAAGAGTGTTTCCTAGTAATTGTAACAACAGAATCTATAAAGTTCATAATATTTACAAAATTTTGATAGTATTTTTCTGGGGCAGTGGATCTTTTCAACCAGTATTGTGTGTCAGATTGATTCAGCTGGTTAGAACAGGGCATAATAAGCCCATAGTTATGGTTCCCTCCTTTATATCTAGTGTGGAGAAATTGAAGGGATAGTTTTACATTTTGTGCTATGTAGACAGATACCTATAGATTTGGTGTTAAGATACCCAGATCTGGTCATTCTATGCCATGATTTTTCCTCACATTTTCCATTGTCTGTACTCAAAAACAGATTGTTGCAGGAAAACACTGAAATGGAAGGCACGAGAATTAAGTTGTAATGCAGCATGTCTTTTGTTTTCTTTTTAATTCTTTTGACCTTTTTTGATTGCTGTTGTAAAACAAGGTGTTTGCATTTTTGAAGTTTTTTTCAACTTAAAATGTATAATTCTTGGCTCTGGTCTATAATCAGATGGTATGACTTAGGCCTCTTTAGGGAAGTTCATGAAAGCAAAAGTCCCATCTCAGGAAGAGATGTCTTTATTATGTAGTTTAAAAAGGCCAGGAAACTACTTTAGACGAATTTTTCTTAGTGACCTGTAACTCAAATTTATAAAATACTAGATAGACCCTATGTTTTAGAGCCAAGTAGCTCTTAATTGGGTAAAATTGATTCAACAACTGTTTATAAAGGATCAGTTATGCACAAAATACAGAACTGGGCCACATGGAGAATTAAAGGATAAATCCATCCATTCACCAAATATTTGTAAAGCATTTGTGTCAGTCTCTATTTTGGGCAGTAGATGCAATAATGAGTAATACATGTGCTCTTTTAATGTGGAGCTTATGTTCTAGTAAGTTAAATTTGGGGCCTGCTCTCAACGAGTGGAAGTATATGGAAGGGGGTTGAGATTGGGGCCCCACACCGCTCTGTGATGAACTATGATATCAAGGTATGGTAGGATAAGTGGCATAAAGAGAAGAACAAAGAATTAAAAGTTACAGGTGAGGAGCCATAGAAGATAAAAGATCCAATTGGGGGTAGGAGAAATTGGTAGGGTTGGGGACAGTGAGCTGAGGATGAAGCTATCTGCCAGATCAGAGAGAGTGCAGAAGGTACTAGGGGTAGGGTCTTAGGGTTAATGTTTGAGTTTGTAATTGTGAGTCATCAGAATGAAGGAGACAAGTTAGAAGGCATCCTGGGAGGAATATTGGCCAGGTGGATTTAGTGTGAAACTAAGTTATGTAATAAAGACATAACAAGAATTGAGCGCTATAGTTTGAGCTGACACTTCCATGGGAAGATATACAGTGCCAGAAATCTTCATGTCATGGAGCCCTTCCTGGATATCTGGGAATGAGAAAGGAAAACCAGTCAATGGGTCCTCAACAGAGACTGCCCAGAAGCAGCCAACCCTCCTCCTTTTGTTGTCTCTAATTCTTGCACTCGGTATTATTTATAGAATCCATTTTTAATAAAATGATATTAAATAGCTGACATTTAAATTCATGAAAGACCTCATGAATTTGCTTATACATCAGGAAATGCAAAACATAGGTAGTTAACACATTTTGTAAGGGAGAATGATAGTCACAAAAGAACTATTTATCCGTTTCTAGCTACAGTCTGAATTAAAGTTTTTCACTGCTGTTCTGAAAACTTCCAATGAATGCTTTTCAGGAGGGCAGATTTCATTTGCACGTGTTCTGTGAGCAAGCCTGCAATGATTTTTCTCTATATTTTAATAATCAGAAAAGGATACCTTGAAAAATACATGACAAGCATTTTGTGGTTGCTACATAACTGACCGACCATCTCCTATCCTCTGATCTACCAACTACCACCTCTCTGATCTACTCAACCTAAAACACTCCCCAGCCTACCTTCTACTCA